TATATTTTCTTTTTCCTATTTTGGTTTCATCTAGTTCTACTACTTTATTTCTTCCTCCAATTCTTATATTTTTATTAAATTGTTCTTTATCTTTTAAATATTTTCTAAAGATTTTATTATACAATGTTACTGTATTTCTACTAATCTGCAGTGTTGTTGCAATACTACTACATGGCATTTTTAGAATAAAATAATTTAATAAATGAAGTTGGGTACTCAATGGTAATTTCATCTTTGAAAATATTGTACCGCGTAATGGTGAATATGCTTTCCTACATTTATAATTTCGACATCTGTAAATTTTTAAATTTAAGTATAATTTAGTATCACCATTACATTTTAGACATTTTTCATATTTATTTACATAATTATTTTCAATCAAGTATAACAGAGCCTTTTCATCATTTTCAAATAGTTCCTTTAAATTTATATATGGCTCCGTGAACATTGTGCTATTCTACATAATTATTTATCAAATTTTTTTATTACCTATTTTATATTTTATTATAATTCAATTTTTACATAATAATATCTCAGTTTGAATTTTAGAGTTGTCAAGTATCCTGAGATACATCCGAAAACAAAAAGGAAATCTGTGAAGACCAAGTTATCTTCTTTTATTAAGTGGAATATTCAGATAAAGAATGAAGACAAAAACCATGTAGGAAAAAAGTACTTCTATTTATATTTGTGGATATTGTAAAAAACTTTTTCTATCGGGACCCTTGAACAGAAGATGACCTGATGTTAAAAGAAAAGACATACCCAATTGTTATTGTACGGCTAATCGTGACAGAGCGGTGCCTTGACCGATTGGATCGGTAAACGGAGGTAAGTGAGTTGATCTTATGAAAGATTCCTTTGACCCGTATCTCGGCAGATTCATTATAGCTAACGGGACGGGCAGGATAAACTATTCCTTGATTCTGCCGATGTCTCCGTTGAAGTCTTCTGAATCTTGTCAGGAGGTAAAGAGTTAAAGTGAAGGAACAATCAGTTGAATAATAGCTTGAATAGATGAGATATATGTATATTGTTTGATCTGCAAAATAAAGTTATCTGATTTATACAAATCCAAATACTATATTAATTTATTTCTAAATCAAGTCAATTACTCATATAATGTTGTCTCGGATGTACATACAGATGATCTCTTCTTCCGGGATCGATAAGAATTGTTCTGACAAAGCTATCACTCAAGATTAAACCAATCATTATAAGGATCTGTAGTCTCTTATTTAGCATTATGTAATAATCATGCCACTATGCACATAGATCTCAGGTATCGGAGTATGAATTGATGCATAATTTAAGATCAAAAAATTGAATAACCTTTACAAATATAAAATGTGCTCATAATGTTTGTTGAATCATACAAAGATTTAAAGTATATTTTCGAAGATGATAAAAAAGCATTATTATATCTAATAGAAAATAAATACATTAACTCTTATGAAAAATGTGAAAAATGTTCTGAAAAAACAAAACTAAATTTAAATAAAAAGATGTTTGTCTGTAGAAGTTATAAATGCAGAAAAGCAAAATCACCATTGAATGGAACCATTTTTAATAAAATGAAATTACCTTTAAATATACAATTGCATTTGTTATATCTATTTCTTGGAAAAGTATCTGGGTCATTCATTTCAAATGTATTAGATATAGATAAAAATACTGTTGTGAGATATAAAAAATTATTTCGTGAATATATCAAAAATAAGCAGTTGATGACACCTCATAAAAGGATAGGTGGACCTGGTATAATAGTAGAAATAGATGAAACTAAGAGTGCAAAAAGAAAATATAACCGAGGGAGAAGAATTGATGGAGCATGGATAATCGGTGGTATTGAAAGAAATATAGATATACATAAAAAGAAATTATTTATGCTACCAATAAAAGAAAGAAGTTCTGTCAAAATAGATCAAATAATAAAAAAGTATGTTAATCCAGGCACCATAATATACACAGATTGTTGGAAGGGTTATAATAATGTAAAAAATAATGGATATTATCATCAAACTGTGAATCATTCAAAAAATTTTGTGAATCCTATTACTAAAGTTCATACACAATCAATAGAGAGCACATGGAGTGCATTCAAAAGAAACTTATTACCTATTCATAGAAATAATAAAAATATCTTCTTGCATATAAAAGAATATCAATGGAGAAGAAATAATAAAGCAAAAAATATTTGGCAAGAGTTTCTAAAAGATTGAACAAATTGAATATCCTATTAATATAAAAATAAAATAACATAATTATACTCATGTCCGAAAATAATCCATTTTTGAATAAAAAGTTTATTAAAGATCTTAAAACTTCATTTGTTCCTCAACAGGTTTTTAAAAATAATAAGTATCAATATAATATTACAGATATTACTTTTAAGTATAAAAAAAATAACTTGGTTCTTGTAAATGTAAAATTAGAAAATGGCAATAAATTTGAGTACGCCTATATCTTAAAAGTGGATAATAAAAGAAGTGTTTGTGATAATAGTATGATTATTGATGAATAAATAAGTTTGCATTATAATGATTGTATTTTACTGGGATTTTTTCATCGAAATATTGTATAACATTATTACTGAATTTGGTATATGAGATTTATCTACATATCATACCGTAATAATCTACGCGTAATATGATGTTGGATACAACAATAATATCTTATTCCTAAATCAAGTCAAATACTAATACAATGTTGTCTCGGATATACAGATGAAATATTCTTCCGTAAAAGAAAAGAATTGTTCTGACAAATCTATCACTCGCGGTTATTCTAACCTTCATAAGGATCTGTAGTCTCTTATTTCAGTATTATGTAATAATCCAAGAGTAATATGCTGTTGGATACAACATTGTGGCTATACTGTTTGAACCTTCTAAATGGTGCAATTCTTGTATAGTATCAGATTTATGATGAATAGGCAGTAGTTCCTCTGGGAACATGTATGGGTTTAACTTCGATGGCATCAACACAGGGAATTTGTTCTCATCGATAGCAGGTAAATAATTGTCAAAGTCAATGAGTTTATTTTGTTCAGAAGGGGGGCCAGCAGCAATGTTATCTATCTTATATAATTGGGGTTCTTCTATTGCGAGCTTGTCGAGAGTGTTGTTCATCCATCCTTTTGATGTCGGCTATTCTGATTTTACAATAGCGCTTTATGTGACCTGGTTGGTGGCAGTAGAAACAGGTGTTTGTATTATTATTATTCCTTCTATCGTTTGTATATCGATGAAAATTGTTGTTTAGAGGGCCCCTTCTTTCGATGGTATAAGTGTCCACATTATAGCTGTTTCGTCCTTGATATCTAGCTCGTCCGTCCATTTGGTGTAATTCTACCGTTGTTTCCTCCCTGAACCCATTTCCATACGTGGTGTTCCTTATGACTGGCTGGTGTATGGAGTGGGGTATTGGGTAGGCGTCCAAGCTTTCTTCTTGATGGGCACTTTCATATGTAAGAGCTGCCTTGATTACTGTTTTCAATGAGGGTACATCCTTCTCTTCTTGGCGGACATACGTGCGTAAGTTCTTATCTTGCAGGCCTCGTATAAATTTGTCGGATGCTTCTTCCTCTGTCATACTAGGTAGTGACACCTTTAGGTCCATAAAAGCATTGATGAAGTCCACCAGGGAGCCAGTTTGTTTTAAATTGGCTATTCTGTCACGGGTGATACGTGTTGTATTTTCAGGTCTAAAAAAATCTCTCACCATTTGTCTCAGTTCTTGCCAGTTTTTGGGCTGTTCCTCCTTGTATTCGATTGTTCGATACCATGCATCGGCACTATGCCTGAATAGGCCGGCCACAAACAGGAGAGCTCTCTGGTCGGTCCAGTCTCCGTAAAAGCCTAAGTAGCGGTCGACTGATCGGATCCAGCTGTCTATGACCATGGCGTCTATTCTACCATCATAAGTGTCAGGAACCGGTAGTCTTCTTCCATTATCAGTAGACGTACTGATAGAAGGTGAAATTCTGGGGGGAGGTGCTGGTGGAGTAGCCATCTTCTTTTGTTCTTCCGAACCTGCTGCTACCAATTGTCAGTGTTTATAAGTATAATGTACCGAACTAACAAAGGTTCGACCCGGAAAACAAAACTTAAGATAGTATATAAAAACTTGAATGATCTTTCTTAAGTTTTGTTTTCCGGGTCGAACCTTTGTTAGTTCGGTACATTATACTTATAAACACTGACAAAAACTAATACGGGCGCGGTGTTAAGTTGTAGAATGTAATTATACTAGTAGAATTAAACAATATATTCTAGATGTCCTTGAGTCGGCCAATCCAAATATACACTAAACAAATAATTCTTAAGTTCCAATAATATCCAAATCCAATAAGTAGTTCTTTGAGATCTTTTCAATTAAGGCACACGTAGAATAACTGTTTAATTCAATATATAAAAATAAAAATATAACTAAAAAGATAACTTCACTTGATATCCATAAGTGATAAGAATATGTTCTTTTATATGAGTTAAATAAAATAAATTTTAAGGTCAGTTGTGGGGAAGTGTTCCGGTCCATCACTCTTTTGTCGCTTTTAACATATAAGGGGGGTGCACGTGCCCGCATCGGAATTCCAATTTTCCTCCTAGTCCAATTTTAGAAAAATCTTCTACGTATTAAAACATAAGGATCTTCGGTAGTATAGTGGTGAGTATCCCCGCCTGTCACGCGGGAGACCGGGGTTCAATTCCCCGCCGGAGAGTTTTTTTAAACCACTTTGGTTAAAGTAGAACAAGGCCTTTCTCCATCTATATTTTTGTACTGTAAAAGTTAGTCAGAGCTTCATAATTCCCTATTCACGATATAATCGTTATCATTTTTGGCGAAGCTACCGGGGATACTTAAGTCAAAGGCACGGAAATATCAGTTTAAGACACACAATTAGAAAAGCTATTGAGTATTCAAGTTCAAGTTGAATTATTAAGAGAATTTAGTGAACAACAAGAGAAACAAATAAATAGAGAATTCAACAGCAAACGATGGACAGTCAAAGCAAAATTATGAATAACCTAATTGCCAAACCAGATATCTTCACTGGTGATAAAGCCGACGAGAATCCACTTTTATGGCTAAAACAAGTAGATAGATTAAGGACAGGTTTATCGTTGACCGACGACAACATATTATTTATAATTGGAAATCATCTTCGCGGGCGTGCAGAGATCTGGTAGTCAATCCACGAAGAAAGAATATTAACATGGGAACAATTTGAAAGAGAATTTAAAAATACATTTGCTCCCACAGAAGTTCAACTTGACATTTGGTGGAATGAACTAGAGAATATGAAACAAACAAATACACAAACAGTAGATGAAATTAAACTTAGGATTGAACATTTACATGTTCTTTATTGAATGTCGAAACCGACAATGCTCATACAGTAAAATTAGATATTTCAAGAATGCACTTAGAAAAGATATACAGTATGAGCTGGATAGAGCGCGATTGAGGAATCCCACTTGGAATGAAGTAACTGATGAGGCGCGTAGTATTGAGCTTTTGCAAAAGAAACATAATTTAATCGATTATAACACCGTCACCAATCAGCATGCAATAGTAGAAGAAGGCAAGGGATATGCCCCTGGAAACTCAAATACTATTACTGTACGCCGTCACACTCAGCAAGTAACAATATCTTGGAATCAACTCTGAGTAATACATTAAACAGGTTATGCGACACCCTGGCAAAAATGGAAATCAATAGCAATGTCGGAACAAATATGGGAAGCTGACGTGTTTGGTGAGATAATAACTACAATACTCGAGTACGTACAACCAGGTAGAGAATACATTCTACCACGGTCTATCTATATTGCATCTAATATAAGTTATGTACAACATAGAACAAGATATAGGCCTAAGTATAATAATCACCCAATAAGCATCTGAACCTGAAATTAGTGACTAGCATACGCGTCCTCAAATAATATAATTCCCATTAAACCTCACAAAGTAAATAATGTGGTATTTGACGACTTGTGGAGTTAAATATCACTTAGTTAAAACAATAAAAAGTTAACGAGATCAAACTAGTACGTTTTATTTTCAATCAAGTTCAGTTCAAAGAGAAGAAAAATATCTACTGCAAAAATTTAAATATCTTCTTCATATTGCGGAACCTAGAAACTGGCAGCTGAGTTATTCTACTCAAAGAAGACGTACGTCTTCTGAACCGTAAAAGAATAGAATTCTCCTTGAGGAGATGACGCATCTACCCGGAGCGGGTGGACTTGTAAACGTATCCATGGCTTGATCTAGTGATCATGCAACTAACCTATTTTCCCGTGCTAACCATTATGTAGCACTGCTTGCAGGAAAATAGAATTAATTAGGAAAATAGTATTCGTGCGTGGTGTTTGAGTTGAGTGAACAGTTATTGTAAAGGATGATCACAACCTATTATCTTGTAATCATTCTTTATGCCGAAGGCAGAGAATAGTACTTATAACCTATTATACCTTGGTGTTGAATCAATATATCCTGCATGTCCATATATTAATTCATTATATATCCCATGTCATATAGTAACGTATTATAGCAAAATAAGTAAACTATATATCCTAAATGACAACCTGTTCAGCCTTATACGAGGTAGCTAATCTCGTATAAGAATCATCACTTATTCTATATTCGTTTCCTACTCTACTTTATATTATTTCAGCAGTAATGAGGTGTGAGGATCTTGTATAATTTGTATACAAGTTCTCCACATCTCATATGATGCTGTCAACTAAACACAACACTTAATTCACGGTACTCATATATTAGAGTTTATGTAGTTTCTAATTATTTCTGATTTGCAATATTGTATAATTCATCTTTATCCTTCATAAAGTGAATTATATCTGTCGTATTTGAGGCACGATGGCAATATTATATGAGTAAATCATCACTCAAAACGTCTAACGAAATGTAAAATAAAACTTGATCTCAGATATGAGTACTGCTCATATCTTCATTCCCGTTTGGTAAGCGGTGTGTTCGATTGCATACATTTGAACCTTAGATCAAATGTATAACAAATAAAGATAAGATAAGAAAAGAATATGGATTAAGGATAATTCTTATGTGAGATTAGCTACCTCACATAAGACTTGAACAGGTTATCTTTATGAAATATATTTTACTTAGATTATCTATGGCTATATGACATTCAGGTATATAGCAGGATTGGTATATGTACTCGTAGGATATATTGATTCAACAACCAAAACATAGTAGGTCACGGTACTGCTCCCTGTTCTGGAAATAAAGTATGGTTGGAGATAAAAAAGGCTCAATCACTCTTTATTAATACAATAACTGTTCACGCAATCAAAAGAACACCACGCACGAATATCTCTTCCTAGCCAACATCTATAATCATTCCCACAGTATCTGAGCTACACAACTGGTGGCCGATAGATATTGGATTATAGATGTAGCTGCATGATCACCCTGGATCTGCCAGGATAGCACATTACAAATCAATCCGCTCTGGGATGGACGAGTAATTATCCACCTAAAGGGAAGACCTATTCTTTTACGGAAACCTCTGATTCACTGAGTATTATTTGACCATAATACATCAGTGTCAGCTATAGATCCCGATACAATCATTTCGTAGACAGCAAACACAATAAGTCTTTATTAATAGCAGTAATTTTAGTTTTCTTTTCTTTTTCTTTAGTTTGTTTTTGAAAGAGAAATAAAGACGGTGGTTTGATTTCGTTAAGCTTTCGTGTTTATTTTCTCTTGTGTTATTCTTTACCTTTTACTTCATAATTAAAACTAGCGAATACCACATTTTTTTTTAACGAATTTCTAAACTACTTTGTCCATAATGCCCCCTATTAACCCCCATCAAGACTCCCCTCAAGAAGACCACGTCCAACAAAATGAGGACATGGAAATGATTGATGTAAATCAGTCAACCTCTAACCGACCCCCTCTTGTGCCTGGTTACACCTCCTCTGTTGCCTCCACTGCCACTGGTATCTCCTCCTCTGAATCCCAAGGTACGAACCTCTCTGAAGGTAACATTAATAACCATGTCCCTCCTATCGATAATAGTGAAACATGCATACACAATTGTAATCATAGTGGACACCACTTGATTATTAATACTGATGTTGGCAAGGACCTCACTTCGCATCAGACCAATAACAATGAGCATGATGTTGGCAAGGACTTCACTTCGCATCACTATAACGATATGAATGACATCAATGTCATACATAACAATGGTACTAATCATACCAATACTTTTACACCATTAGATCCTCCCATGACTAATGAAAAAGACCGCATGATTGTTAGATACGAAAACCGTATCAATGAACTTCGCGAGCAGGTGCTCTGCCAATCAAACCCGGTTGAAATAGAGAAAATCCATGCTACCATTGACATTCTTGAGAAAAACGTCAAGAAAATGAAAGGTGGAATCTCACCTAACAGCACATCCCATTTTGACCCTACCAAAAGTAGCACCATGGATTCCAAATATGCTCATTCCTATTCTCCCATCATCCATCGAAGTGAAATACCTATTTTCCAGTTGGTTGATGACCCTGCGGAGACCAAGACCGACAACGTACCGTCCTTCGAAAACGCTGAAACATTCGCAGATGCGTTTGAGGCTCCCTTCCTTGCCAATGATTGTGATTTGGACAAGTATTGGAGAAAATACTTATCTGTTTCGTTTTCGAAAAGCAAAAACCCAGTCTATCAACGTTGGTACGCTGTTGACTTCAAAAAGTTCCCACATACTACCAGTTGGGAAACTATAAAAAGCGAGATCATAGAACGTTTTGGATTGAACGCTACCATTGATAAGAAAATACAAAACTTCATCCGTATGAAACAGGGTAAAACGGAACAACTTCGCGATTACATGGATCGTTACTATCAAGCCTACACTTATCTCCCTGATCCCAAACCTGACTCCATCTATTTGGTGGCTTACTTCTTAGACTCTTTGCTTCCCATGACTAGTGAAGAAGTTAAAAGATCATTGAAACGCTACCATGAAGGAAGGTCCCCTGATAGTAAAACTTCTTTCTATCCTGCCTACTTGTCTGAACTGTTTGACTACCTAAAGAAAAGAATGGGAGACATACAGGAAAGTCTGGCGTTAAAATTTTCATCTCGCTCACAAGGCCATGGCATTCCTATTAACAAGAACCACTCAGACGGAGATATTAGCCATGGTAACGGAATCAATCGTGATCACAAACGCAAAAACAATATGAATAACGATATTGAAATTTCGAGCAAGAAATCTAAATCGTTGGTAAATCCATGCTCGTTCTGCAAAACGGAAAACTATTCGCGAGAACACTTGGAAAACTGCGTTCCTTATCTTAAAAGTGACATATATGTTAGGAGACGTATGAACCAACAAAATAATCAGAATAAGGTAGAAATCTTATATAATGATATTCAATATAAAAAGAGTATCACTGACCAAATACTCATTTTGTATAGCAAAATAGAACATGATATTGAAAACTCATACTCATCTCTACCTCTTGGCAACCATCATTTTGATCAAACTTCATACTATAAAAATTTTCTTACTAGCTCTGATCCAGCTAAAAATAAACATATATTTTTAAAAGATGATATTCGATCACAGATTTCTTGCTATAATGTCTCAAACATAACTGAGAACGAAGTACAGAATTTGTCGCCATATTCTCCCGTTATCATGATCAATGGTGAGAAACTAATTGCTATGATTGACACAGGTGCACAAATATCTTTGATAAATAAAACCTATGAATTTGAGGATAAAACTATCTTTGATGATATAATCCCTACCACTGGTACATTTTCATTTATTGATAAAAATTCTACAGCCAGTCGGATTGGTAAAACACGACCTCTAGAAGTGAAATATAGAGGTAGAACACCATTTTCCCACTCATTCGAAGTTGTGGAAATGCCGCTAGCAAATCTACCAGTTTTGTTAGGGAGAGATTTAATTCCACAACTGGGAATTTCGATTCAGAACATTGCCTACTCTTTTGAAGACATCGAGGAAATTGTCTTTGAAGATAGTGTTAATCATGAAGTGTACACTCCTAATGTGAGCAAAGCTTGTTCTGAAGAAGAATATGAACAGTTCATCGAGGAAATGAAGCCGTTGATGGAAGCGAATGCAAATATTAACCTTCATAACCTTTGCCCTCTACCGGAAGCCATTGTTTATCTTCCCACTACACCTAATGAAGTGGCATACACGAGACAGTATCCAATTTCATACGATTTGGTTCCTATTGTCAGAGAACAAATTAGAAAATGGGCTGATGACAAAACAATTGAACCTGCAAAAATATCTGGTTTCAATAGTCCCTTAACAATCACACCAAAGGCTGGTACTGACGCTAATGGAAATAAGAAGTACAGAGTTTGTCTTGATACTCGACGTATCAACAACCTGACAGACGATGTCTCCAACGTCAACACTCCTTTGATTGAAGACATCTTCCATGATGTCAGAGAAGCAAAAATATTCAGTGTTTTCGATATTTCAGGTGCCTTCCACCGATTGCAAATCGCTGAAGAAGACAGACATAAGCTTACCTTTACATTTGAAGGTAAAAGCTGGCAATTCCGAGGTGCTTGTTTCGGGTTGAAATCGCTTTCCGGAATATTTCAAAATGTTATGG